GCCAGCAGCAGCAGGACTTCCAAATCGTTCGTGAAAATCCCATCCCACGTTACCCTTAGCTAGAAAGAAACTCATTAATTTGGGGTGGGATTCATTCTACTTAAATTAGCCGTCCAAAGGTTAGTTGGCTAGGGCTGAGCTAGTCACCGCGGGATCCTCAGCGTCAGTGGAAAGCAATGCATGCCTCCCAAGAGGCGCGATGAATCACAGAAACGCAGTGATGCTTTTTTCCAGAGCACCCTTCCAACAACGTGCACTTCAGGAACTTCTGAGCCAGCGTTTGCAGCTCTGTGTTAAAACTTGTCAGGGGCTCCACTGCAGATCTTTTTCTTCTGTTAAAATTGACCATCTTCTCCTACACTGTCTTTCCTAGATTTTAATGTGCTGTTTAACCTCCGGACAACCTTTCTTTTGACCCCATAAGTGCTTACCTCTGTGAGAATTTGTGGTGAAAGACCTTGCTGAATTTTTCTGGAAAGCCATGTGGTCTCTCTCAACCTTTGTCCACACTAACTGATCCTTTCAAGGGCTTCCAGGCAGCTTGTAAGGCGTGACTTCCCTCCAGAAGCTAAGCCAACTCTTTCATAGTATATTATTCAGGTTTCCACAAATATATCATTTATTACTGCTTCTATCATTTTTTTCAAGTACAAACTGATCAGCAGTTTCCCAGAGCTTACCAGTACCTTTTAAGAAAACGCTTGCATGTATGGTAGACACTTTTCAATCCTCTCATGTTCACGAGATGAGAGGACTCTGGGTAACAGATCAGCTCTTTCACCCTCCAGTTCCTGTAGCAGCCTCTGGTGAACACTACCTACTCCTGATTACCTTGTCTTGTTGATTTGGTTTATAAAGCTTCAAATCAGTGTTGCTAGAAAGAAGTGAAGCTACACCCCCTCTTCTGACTAGCAAATGCAGAGCTGCTCAATATTTACAAGCCTATTTTTTTCATCCTCATTTTGAGCTGAGTTGTTTCATGCTTAATTCTTCGATCACAGGCTTTTAAACAGAGATATTTCCTTATCATATGAACTCATTGCCTTTAAAAATAGCCCAGGCAGTGCAAACTCTTCCCTAGGTCTCTTGTTATTCTGCCAATAAAAAAGGACTTGGAAGAGTTATGATCAAGCCCCAAAAAGAGGAAAAAAAAAATGAATAGTGTTGGATATTTTTTTAAATGTTGGAAAGACCACTGTGACCCCCACAGAAAGCTCCAAGTCAGCTTTCCCTGTCAGGACAGAGGTATCATCATTCTGGCTGCCTCCTCCCAGAGGAACAAAAAGCATTGCAGATGTTGACAGGGCCTGATTTATGGTTTGGGGTTCTTACTCATATTCAATCATCCAAGCACTAAGAAAACATGTATTAACTTTCTCGTATGTACTCATCCAGGATGGCAGCTAAGCTACGCAATTCACCTTCATGGCTCTTTCTTTCAACCTTCAAACACAGAAATGCAGTTGGAGCATCCCAAGCTGCAATTCAGACTATTTGGACAGTTTCAGTTCAGAAGAACTATGTAATTATGAAACAACAACCCCCAAGACTCTTTTAGCTTCAGGTCAGATACCACTTCATTTGCAACAGCCAAACTCTGAACAAGTCTTAACAGAAGGACTTTAATCTGCATCAAAAATACCTAAAAAATATCAGCCACCAAGCATTTTCATGCAAGTTACATCAAATTTAAGCTGCTGCCTCATCCATTATTTCTGAAGGGCTCCTTTTCCTCTGCCATGTTCCCCTTTTTAACAAATACAACTTCTTTTTTCTAGAGAGATGAGTAACCTACCTGCATTTACCCTGACAACACTATCAAAAAAAAAAAAAAAGGCAAGCAAGCAACCAAGCCAACCACCTCTCCCACCTCCACGTCTGCAAACAGGTTATTCAAATTCAGCAGAGAGAACAATTTTCATTAGGAAAGCACCTTTTCTTTGTTCTACAAAATTCTACTCACCTTGCATGAAGATATAAGCCTCCTAACATCGCCACTCCCTACTACAGCCCACGGTTAGGGCAAACATTAGCTAAATACCGCTAGCCTAGGATGAGCTCAGATGCTACCATAGAGCCTAAGAACTGGAAACACCTGGAAGCTGTTCGGGCAGCTGTACTGAGATGCAGCACACCAGGTAATGCTCATTTTCCATCCCTGTGGTTGTTTACAGAATATTGCAGCAGGTGCTCAGCAATGAGTCCTCTTGCCACACTGCGACCAACATACGTAAGCGCTATGGCCTCTCTCTCATATGCAAGCTGTGGGGCATAGATCATCTTGCTGGTCCTACAGCAGATGCCAGCAGAGGCAGCTACAGGTTCAAATGTTGCTGCTGACTACGGTATAGCTGCTTGCATCAGTTTATTTTTATGAAATGCATGATTTTTTAAGTTAAGATTGCATCTATCCTTATCCCTATGCTTTTGTGAAGAGATGTGCGGCAGGCAAAGCCTGAATTACAGTCACCTATTTACATTAGCATGTAATGAAGAGGCTCACAAAACACCTAAACTGAAGAAGCTGAGGATGCCTAGGCTACAAGGCATCACTAGCTTTTCTACAAGGCATCACTAGCTTTTCTACAAGGCATCACTAGCTTTTCTACAAGGCATCACTAGCTTTTCTAATGGTGTATTTTTTACTGACAGGTTTCACCTGCAGATTTCAGAAAATTCTGTGGACACTTTCTCATTTTCAAGGCAGCAAAACAAATGCAGAAAACTGAAAATGACTGAAAAAGTAACAGACCCTAGAACTGAGACAGCTTTTCCAAGTGCTAAATTTACATTATTCACTAAACAACATGGTTCTCACAGCCATAGGCCTTCCAAGCCTTCTTCCCTCTGCTCCTTCACTGCAGAGGAGAATCACAGAATATAAATATAGGAGTCTAGGCCACACTAAAAGGTTGACTCTACTTATGGTTATCCAGCAGGCTGGGTGAATTTAGGATCAACTCCTGTCATTAGAAAGGCAATAAAAGGGAGAAAACCCATCTTTGATGATGAGGTTATATAAAAACCCATGCGAAAATTCTGCCGGGCAGCTCTCCAGCCACTCCTCCCCAAGCCTGTAGCGTTGCATGGGGTTGTTGTGACCCAGGTGCAGGACTTGGCACTTGGCCTTATTAAACCTCATACAGTTGACCTCGGCCCATCGATCCAGCCTGCCCAGATCCCTCTGCAGAGCCCTCCTACCCTCCAGCAGATCAACAGTCCCACCCAGCTTGGTGGGAGAGCACTCGATCCCCTCATCCAGGTCATCGATAAAGATACTGAACAAAACTGGCCCCAGAACCAAGCCCTGGGGAACACCGCTTGTGAATTTCTTCCAATTCTGTAGATTCATCCCTGGGTCAGAGAAGTGTTGAGGATCTGGTGTTCATTTTCACACTTTAGTCAGTATGACTTTTATAACACAGGGAACAGAATTTTGGAAAGTCTCTCAGTTTTGGGAATTCTTAGTATCAATCCAAAGCAGTTAAATCATTTTTGGAAGAAGGTAACTAAGGAAGGTATAACAACTTGAGAAAGATTTGGGCTTTTTTAAATGGCATTCCTAGTCCTGTTTCATTTACTATTACTTGGGTTCCCAATACTGGATGACTCTCTCAGGCCCATAAGTGAACTTCCCCACTTTGCCAGTCCCAGTCTCCCCTGTTTTGCAGTAGCCAACAAGCCACAGAAATCCACTTAGGCCTTGGGTTCTTTTAGCCGACACTGGGTTTCTCAGAAGCTGGTCATAGCTCCATAGCTTGCAGTATTACTGTAAAGTTACAACATAGCAACGTGAAAATTCCATAAAGTTCCATAATTAATGAAGCATTACGAATACATTGAAAGCCAAGACCACAATATATACAACAAGATGCTTCAGGTATGTGCCAGCACTACCTCATGTGGAATGAGCTGCTCTGTCCATCTGGGATACATGGAAACGAACTACACACCCATTGCATGGGAGTGATTCAGGTTTGCCATCCTTACCCCTTCTCCACCAGTCCTGTGGTTATAAAATGCACCAAGAATGTTACATGGGGCATGATCTCCTCCTACAGTCAAATTATCAGTGCAAGTGCCTAAATTCTACCCTTTGCCTTTCTCCTGCCGGCAAGCAGAGACACTGCAGTGACTATCTCTAATTGTAGACTTCTTCTCTTTATGCAAGGGTGTTGTGGGGTTCCAAAAAGCACTGAAGTCATCCTGATGTATTTTAATGTTCTAGGGAAGCAATCACTGGGCGAATAGCAGGAACAGGAAAGGTGAAACACTGAAAGATAAACCACCACAGCAGAGACTGACGCCTTAGTATTCAGTAAACGTGTGTGCCGATTCCCAAACCAGCTGCAGTAGGATTGGTTACTGTCTGCTTTCCACAATCACTCATACAACTCTGGGTTGGAGGAAATCCTGACAGAGGTGGATTTTGATTGAATTGTCTTTCGAGTATTACTTCGTTTTTGTTTCTTATAAACCAATTGTGTGAGTCAACTCAGAAAACATTGTCTTAGTCCTATTGCCAGTTAAGTGTTAGCAGCAGATGCAGGTATCGCCACGAAGGGCATGTAATCAGCTGAGCTTCTGCTTCATTTTCAGCATGTTAAGGGACCAACCATAAATCACTTTTCCCATAAAATTGCTCTATTAAAGGTACGGTATTTTCTGGTATATGAATGGTCAGGTTTAGACTATTTGGTCTGCCATGTTGGCCAAATTCTACTCGAGTCTTTCTGATATTATCAAAGAGCATTTGGAATTTCTAAGGATTCTGTTGCTACTTACTACAGCACCTACCCAGCCATTCCACAGCAGTCCCATCTGAAGCTGCACCCTTTTTCCACTGAAAATGAACTATTGTTAATCATTTCAAAAAATCCATGAATGGCAAAAATATTTCACTGACAAAAAGAGCAACCGAATTACTCTTCATGCCTTTCATACATGTTATATAAATGTCACAGTTTAATATGGAGAATATATATGATTCATAAATGATATGGTATGTGCAATTTAGTGTTTTATTAAACAAATACAGTAGCTAACCAAAATCTGATTGCTGATAATGGGAAATTACATTAAAATCTATGTTACTATGGTAATTATTGGTCATCTGAAATAATATATGCCCTAAAACATAATGCAGGAATTTATCTTCCTGTGAAATAAGAAATACAATAGAAATAAAGTTAAGGGACATGTTTATTTCAGAGCTTTCTGCAAGCAAAATTGCTTTGATACAAAATGAGTTCAATGATACAGTGCTACCATCCACTCAAGCAAAAGAAAACCTCACATTTACATGAATGCACTTTATATTGATATTCTTACAGAATAATAGTTCAGATATCCAGAATGTGTCTGGCCTCATTGAAAGCAATGGCACAGAAATGCTGCAAGGTATTGGAGTATCATATTACTGGCGAGTGCTTAATTAACTCTGTGAGTTCTCCGAGAGATGCTGTATAAATAAGGGTACTGTGAATGTGGGTTTGTATTTCTTAGTAGTTTTGACGTACACCCTTTAGTGTTTGTTTAGTTAGCTCAAGATGTGTAATTGTGTCTTTTGGCTTTTTAGTATTCTCTTTTTCTTTTTTACAGAAAAATCATGAGGTATCCTTTACTGTTAACTAATGACATAGTGACAGGCCGATCTTATTCAGGTTGCAGAGACTTACTGTACATTCAGTACACTGTACATTCGGCAATTATTTTTAGTGTACTTTCTACACATCACTGTGTACAACTGTTAGTTTACATTAAAACTCTTCCCCCTTCTCACAGGATATGGCATAAACAAAAACAAATCTGACAAAAATTATACACATAAAATAAGAAGACAAATACACAAATAAGGCCATCTGCAGAATTAAAAATCCACCTCTTGCGATATTTCACAATAATTTCTACATAATATTTTACATCTTACGAACTTAAATACTTAATGCAAAAGGAAAAGACCTTTAGGGAGCTAATCATATTATCTCTTCAAGGACTTGTCCAATTTGCTGGCTAGTGGCCTTCTCTGGGGAGTTGGAATTTTAGAAGGCTTGGCTGATGTTGGCCGAGAACCTGCTCGGGGCGTCGGCCTGCTTGCAGCAGGAACAGTCTCTGACATATCTGAGCACACAGACTGGATTTCTGAAATGTCAAAGTCAGACGCGTCACTGCCTCGGCGGCTACTTGACCTGCTGCCAGCCTTGCTTCCTGCTCGGCTTCCAGGTCTGCTTGGAGTTCTTCTGGTTTCTAGAAAGAAAAGATATCCATCAGTATTAGAGGTAAGGATGGAAAATGTGTGCAGGTCTTTCCTAGGTCTTCACAACCCCCCAAATTCCTCATTGCACAAACTAAACTTTAGACCTCTGGCAGGCAAGCTAGATGATGATCAAAGTTCATCTTGATATTAAACAAGAGCATGAAACAATGCCACATCTCCCACAAAAGAGAGGGAATCTGAGATCAAATGCTGAGACATAGTTAATTCGTCACTAGCACATCTCATTAAAAATGTATTATGCTGGCAACTTTTCTTGACTTACTAGACATGCATTGTCTATTCACTCAACAGCCAGATCCTTTCTTTCCCCTGACATTTTCTCAGCTATGAACTGAAAGAATTCAGTATCTGGCTTCTTCGTGCCACGTTTCCCAGTATAAGTACCTTGGAGATGCAGATGAATATCCCAATTTTTAAATGTGTACCCCTCTTTTTTTTTAAAAATTCAAAACCATACACTTGAAAGCTGCAAGTAAACAAGGGCAGAGTATATATTCTCCCAAACAAACGGCTGAGTAAATGAGCTCTCAGCAAGCTTGCTAAAAGTGAAAGCCTGCCCAGACAACATGCCATGAAGAAAAAACCACAACAGAGAGTCTTAAACAGAAAAACATTAATGTGGTTTTTCATAATTTTCCAATTACTTATTGAATCTTTTTGATCTTGACAAATCTTGTTCCCTGTATGTGTGAAGAACACCAAGTTGAAACTGAAATCTCAGGTGGCTCATTTTTCAAATCACCTATAAAAGACACCTACTCTTCGAACAGGATTTTCCAGTACTGCTCAGTATGCTCTGCAGAGCTTAAGATGTGAGGGAAAGCCAGTAGAGCTATCTTCTATTCTAAACATCCGGCTCTCTCCCTTACACAGAGCTGCTCCAGGGATCCTGGAAGAGCACAGCTTCACTGCTTTCTACTTTCATATATTGTTTTAAAGATCTCTAAGGGATATTCCATTAGTAAGGTCATCTACAGCTGTTCCCTGCAGTTCTTTCAAAAGAAATGGACAAGTCATGATTAAGTGGCCCCTTTGCTCCATCACAGTAGAGTGTAACTTCAATACTATGAAGAACTTTCTTTTTAAGTAAATGCTTCTTCCCTAGTTCCTTAGGCAGATACATTGAAGATACCATTGTAAAGAAGGTTGCAGTCATGGATTTGCACATCCAGAGCTGAACATTCCT